TCAGAGCTCAGAGATGTGAAAATTAATTTCCGGATCTCAAAGCTTATAAGATATCGTGTGTCTCAACTCTCAAATGTTGATCTCTTGAGACATGGATGGTGGAAGTAAATATAAAAAATTTGCAGTATATCAAATCTACATCTCCATTTATGGGGAAACTTGTGCTCGCGTTTCACAGTACGAAGACATTTATCAACCAAAGATTCCGTTCATTTTTCTCATAATTAAGTATTGTCTTTTACATGGCATGTGGGACTGGTGTTGTTTTTTTAATATTTTATTCTTTTCATTTTCTCGAAGTTCTCCATTTCTTTGATTCTTGTTTTGAAAATCTGTGGCCCCTCTAACGTTTTTACATTGGTCGGCCAATTTGATACTTTGACATTCTTAATGTTAATTAAGCTACTAACTAACCAAATCAATTTCAACATTATTTAACAGTAAAGTTCATTCAATAAATTTTTATTTTACCTAAAAAAGTAGGGCTGACGCAAAATCTTATCAATACAAGATAGCAAAAACATAGGAAGGTTTGGCGACTATTCAAACGCGATCACGTTGCATGATGACATGAGTGGCATGCCCCTGTCAGTGCAGTGAGTGAACACTAGGTTAACAGATTGTTAGAAATCGTCTACGTGTTTCATCCCTGCACAAGTCGAGAAAATCACTCAGGTAGGTGAGCAATAAGACGCGGAGAATAATTTGCACAGTATCCACCCAACTTGCAGATTTAATAATAATTACCTTAATTCATCACACTTTAAATAGAGGCATTCTCTCTTATTTGCAGGATTGACTAATTTCACTCTGGAATAGTATACTCTCTCTATCCCTCTTGTATTTTCCAAGCTGTAACTCAGCTCGCTGAACGCAACCTAACTTTACTCTCATTAATACAATATTAGTGGACGTAAGATTCGCCTTTGAGCATCCAAACTACTTTAAACATTGTTCTTCACCCTTTACTTAACTAAATAATTTCATATCATGTGTGACTTCCAAGTCTGCTTAGTATTTCTCACGTGCGAATAGTTAGTACCAAAATTAAGCATCAACAATTTTATTCGCAGAAGTCTCGGAAATCATCTGGTAAAAATTATAAACAAGACATAACAAATAATGCTTCATCAATAGGAGCGTATATATTTCTAGTATATTTTTATTGTTTAAGCAAGGTAGAATGGCTCCACATACTCTTATCTTATACTTATTTATTTATTTAAATCAATAATATTTAATATTAATTACAAACATTATAAACGAGATATTTAATGGAGAAGTTAGGTGTATTGAGTTTCAAACTTCCATCATTAAGCTTTTCGGCTTTATACCCCCACATGTTCTAAGTAGTGAACCCAATAATGATTTCTAAAAAGGAAGTATCTATGAAATAAATATGATTCAACAATTCTCTACTTAAAAATTGCAAATATTAAACACGTGCATCCTTTTTCAAGGTAACGATGCTTGACGGAAACTTAGAAATTAGAAACAATAAGAGTGTATATATATGTGTAATAGCCATTAATCTACTCAAAGAGATACACCAAAAATCCAAACAAATACAAACCCTAGCTGGCTATCTTTACTTTACATCCAGAAATGTATGGAGTCATGAATAGTTCAGATTCTGACATGGCTCTTTTAGATTCCATTCGTAATTTTCTCCTCGCTGATGATTGTTATGAATCTCCTGACAATGCTCAATCGTTTTACAACCCCAGTTCAAGCTTGAGTGGTAGTCTCTTTATGACGGAGAACTGGAGTGATCTTTTGCAGGCAGCAAACTTCGGTTTGTCTTCAAACGTAATGTCTGTGAAAAAAGAGCCAATAGAACGGGCCACTGATGTTGCGGATGTGCGTTTATCACACGCTCCTTCTAGAGGAATGGGTTACAGGGGCGTTAGGAGAAGGCCGTGGGGGAAGTACGCGGCGGAGATGAGGGACCCACAGAAAAATGGAGCTAGAATATGGCTTGGAACTTACGAGACGGCTGAGGATGCTGCGCTGGCTTATGATCAAGCTGCTTTTGAGATGCGCGGTGCCAAAGCCAAGCTAAATTTTCCTAACTTGATCGGCTCGGCTAACATTGACCCGGTTAGAGTGAATCGGAGACGGCGTTCTCCAGAGCCTTCCTCTTCATCGTCATCCACGTCAGATAGTGGCTCTCCTAACCCTAAGAGAAGAATAAACGAGACTAGCACAGTTACCATTGGTGGTCAGTTTGTGATTCAGTGGCAGTAAATCAGTGATTAAGTGTTCTGAATAACTCACGGAATTTAAAATTTTTGACGTGTTGTAATTACCGAACTTAATCACTATAGACTATTAAATCCCTATTTTGTGAAAGTAAAACGTGTTAAATTTCAATCTTGCCATGTCCAGCGGGTCACGGAAAGCTCTACCGTGTCGCGTTTGACTAGTTGTCATGTATTTTGTATAAAAGTTTGGTATAAAATTTCAATATCTATAACAGTACTCTTTCGTGAATGAATGACAATCTAACATTTATAGACACCCGTCCATATTTAATAGACTCTTGTTCATATTATATGTATGTATGCCCGTCTAAAAAATTTTAAAAGAAAAATAATATATGGTCGGGTATCTATTTACTGTAGAGATAGACGCCCGTCTAAAATATTTTAAAAAATTTTACATTCAGTGGACATACGTCCCTTTTAGATGGACGTCTGTCCGTTATTTAATTTAAAAATGTTATGTTCAATTTGGGAGGCCCAAATTTTTGTTTAATAAAAAAATTTCTTTAAAAATTTCAATTAGAATGTTTAAAAATTTAGGCCTCCCAAAACAGATTTCATTCCTCTCTTGCATTTTGTTTATAAATTAAAAAAAAAAAAAAGATTTGAGAGTCGACGCCAGTTTTCATTTCTTTCTTGCCTTTTCTTTATAAATGAAAAAAAAAAAAAAATTGAGTCCATTCTCAAATCAAATTTTTAAAGTATGCGTCCATTCTTAAAAATAATTTTTTTTTTCTTTTATTTCATCTAAAAAATTTATTTTCATCTGAAATTATATGGACGCTAGCCTGCCTATATAATACGAATGATCATCCATAGTAAAAGACATAGTAAAAGACAGGGGCGAATCTAGCCCCTTTGAGAGTAGGCCCAAGCCTACCCTCAAGTTTAAAAAAAAAAAAAATTATTAATATATAGACTCATGAAAATTGTTATTAATATATATATACTTAAGTCTACTCTCGAATTTAAAAAAAAAAAAAAAAAGAATTATTATACATATATCTAGACTCACAAAAAACTTGTTATTAATATATATATTCTAAACCCTTATTATATTAAAATTTTAAAACTCTCTCCGCTCTTCTTCCGACTCCACCTACTTTCTATGATTTTATCCTCAAAATTATTTACTCTCTCATTCTCTCATTCTCTTCCTCATGCTATTCGATCTTAAAACTTTTAAAGACTGAAATTGTTGAAGCTTTCAAGGTGTCACAATCTATATTTTCTGTTTTATTACTTTTAAATATGTGTATTGCTCATTTTAATTTAGTTTATTTTAGGGTTGAATCATGTTATTTTCTTTTTTTCCAGGTTTTTTATTCTAATTTGAGAGGAAAATACATGGACCTTGTAAGTTTATTTTGTGTTTTGTGTCTAAAGAATGAACTTGCTTTCCCAAATTAAAACCTTAACTATATGTTAAAAGACGTCATTTTTCACCATTTACCCATCACTTTCTTACCATTCAAATATCGCGGTATTGATACTCAAAATAAATAAAGAAATTTGAGTTATTATACATGTTTATATTAAGAAATTTTTTTTTTTTTACTAATTCATATTAAAAGTTAACACAACGTTGATTTGAATTAAGTTTTGATTGACTTTGACTTAGATTAGGTCTGGTCAAAGTCATGAAAATTTACATTATAATCTTTGGAAGCCAAAAATAAAATTAAAAATTAAAAATTAAAAAAAGGTTTTGCTCAAGGTTTACTTAACACATTTACTAAAAAATTTGATTCTCATGGATTTATTCAAGTAAGGAAATACTGCGTTATTGCATTTTGGTTATTTTTTTAAGTTTTTACTAGTTGTTTNTTTTTTTTTTTACTAATTCATATTAAAAGTCAACACAACGTTGACTTGATTTAAGTTTTGATTGACTTTAACTTAGATTAGGTCTGGTCAAAGTCATGAAAATTTACATTATAATCTTTGGAAGCCAAAAATAAAATTAAAAATTAAAAATTAAAAAAAGGTTTTGCTTAAGGTTTACTTAACACATTTACTCAAAAATTTGATTCTCATGGATTTATTCAAGTAAGAAAATACTGCGTTATTGCATTTTGGTTATTTTTTAAAGTTTTTACTAGTTGTTTAACAAATAATAACAAAGGCTTGGAGACCCCCCTTCGACAAAAATCCTAGATCTACCACTGGTAAAAGGACTCCTGTCCATAATATATGGACGGGAGTCCATAACTATGGACAATCGTCCTCATAAGAGGACGGGCATCCATAAACAATTTAGGCCAAATTTTTTTAGTTTAAATTATGAACCAACGTCCATTCTAGGTGGACGACGTCCATATAATATGGACTGGAGTCCATTTCAAATGAACTACTGTCCAATAACAATAGATAGTTCATTCGCGGAATATTTGTTAACGTGATACGTGACTCGTTTGATTCAATAGACACGTCGTTTGGTGTAAAAATTTGATGGAAAACATCGGTAGCATTTTTTTCATGAAAAACTTCAGTGTGGTCACATCTGACTAGTTGCCATATCCTTCGATACAAAAATTCGGTATAAAATTTCGGTGTTTATAGTATTACTCCTTTATTTATTGAATGCACGTGAAAATACAAATTCTGAATGGCTATAGCCCATCATGAAACAAACAGCAGGTCTAATTGAAATGGGCTATATATATTTGGTTGGCCTCGGTCTTGTTGCTGCAAGCCCATCCCACGATTTCGGTTGCTTTAACGCCCAAAATATTTTTTCTTCCTCTTTTGAATTTGTTCTTAAAAAACAAAAAAATCAGATTTTCAGAATTTTGTTTGATTCTCTAATGGAACGATGGAGTGGCATTTTGAAGGTTCCACTGTACCCAAATAGCAAGAGTTTTTATAGAGTCGGGGCATCTCTGTGCCTCTCTTCTTCTTCCAAAACCCTAACTGTAAGTTGTCTTCAGTTTACTCAAGCCCTAAAGACAACAATCAACCACAGAATCTTAATTTAATTTTTGCAATTAAATTTGGGTCAGGTGCCTTCTGCAAATGCAGTATTATTTCATNTTGTGTTTTTTGCAAGTACAAACAACCTCAGTTCTAATTACAAATGAGGCGGTTTTTAGAACAAGAAAATGGTGTTCTTCCAAAGATTTATTCATTAGGGTGTGAGATCCCTTTATATATTGTTTGCCTTGGTGGATTTGCTGATAAATTAACCCTCACAAAGAGTGGTATGCAGCCTAGGTGTACAGAGAACAATAGGTAATCTGGGTTAGACTTGCATATGAAGTAATTCTTTCATGAGATAACGTGTGACCTTATTGACAACACAAGTTGATGTTTATCAGTGAAATAATGTTTAGTAAATTTACAAGTGAAATAGTCTTTTAATTAAGTGACATGTAATCTGGTGACAACGCATCCCTGGGACACGTGGTATAAATCTATATAAGGTGGAGATATATATATTGTTGTTAGCTTTCTAGTATGATAGATAAGTTTAATTTATGATAAAAAGGGAAATCAAAATTCAATTCAAGTGGAGAGTCTGCGTTTGATAAACACGTAATATGGTAATAGACAATGTCTAATGCATGTTTTTACAAAGCTGATCTTCTTATTGACTATTAGTTAGTAAACATAATAAACTTGATTTTGGCTTGGGGAATAAGTTACAAAAAGTATGACTTCATTTGATGTATTTTCAATTTTCAAAATCTTATTCTATTTTATTCATCTTATAAAACATTTATAATTACATTTCTCGTAAATATAACCCAATTTTATTTTTTTTCAAATCTAAAAAAAAGTTACAAAAAATACAACTCCGCCATGAAACTACCGACATTAATTGTTTACTGTTTACTTCGCTTTGACTGGGGCGACGGAGGCTCACATGAACGGGGGCGCTTGGGGTTGACTCTTACTGGCTGGAAATTAACAGAGCCGATCAAATGAGGAAAATTGAGCTTTGCTTTTGATCCGCGCATCTTAAAAGCAGCTTGATCATAAGCAAGTGCAGCATCTTCAGGCGTCTCGTAAGTCCCCAACCAAATTCTTGATCCATTCTTCTTTGTTTCTCTAATCTCCGCCGCGTACTTACCCCACGGCCTTCTCCTCACACCTTTATATTGCATTTGCACCTCCTTCCGTGGAACCCGCATTTCACGTTCCACCACCAAATTACTCGCCTCATCTTGTGTCTCTGTTTTAAGAGCCTNGAAAGGACTCCGTTTCGTCCTTCATGGAACTCCTAGGCAATGGTGTGATGGCAGGCGAGCTTGGATTCGTAATGAGAAGGATAAATTGGTTCATCTGCTTGAACAGGAATCTCAGAAGAATGGTGGGATTTTACAGGTGTGTGAGAGATTTTATTTTGCTGATAGACCTCCTGATATGCAGATGCATTTCGAAATTATCGAGAATCTGAATGTTAATTGAGTGTTGTAATATGAATTTGTTGTAGCTGATGCATTATATATTAATACTCTCAATAGAAACTTACATATGTATAATTAACTTGATCCCATTTTGTATAGCATATGATTTTATCTTGAGTAATGTTACGCCAACAACACATTCTTACAATCTTCTCTTACAACCCTAATATGTCAACAGATTAGTGCTGTCACGTCAGCTCCCACCACACTCAAGGCACCCAAGGCACTATGAGAAACAAACTGTCGTTCTTCTTCTTCTTCTTCTTCTTCTTGGAACAATGTTGTTCCTTATCTAAGGAATGACGCTGTTCCTTGCCCAAGGAATGGCTGCATCTTCTTTTTTCTTCTTCTTTTTCTTAGAACAACCTTGTTCTTGAAGGAACAACGTTGTTCCTTACATAAGGAATGGATTAAGGAACGGTTATTCCTTCTGTGAGAAACGACCATTCTTTCATAAGTAATGGTCGTTTCTTTGATCTAATCAAAATCATTTTCCGTCTTAAGTGTAGTAGAACTGTCGTGATAGTGTCAACTCAGTTGTAAGAGAGGTTTGTGAGAGTGTGTTGTTAGCGTAGCATTACTCTTTTATCTTTCATGCTCTTTTGACCTTATTAATGTTGCGTCCACATGTGAATGGATGAAGTGAATTACAGGGTTGGATCCAGATGATGTTTTTAAGTTTTAATGAATAGGGACAAGTGAGTTGGTAAGGTGTATAGTTGCTGCTACTCTTAGTTTCAGAAATCAGAATCGTTCAAACTTAAAAGATTTGTTATAGTAACTATTTATTATTCCTGCACTCGTTAATTTCATAATTATGTGAAGAAAGAATGGGTATTGTCCCCGTCCCAGGAGTTGAACCCAATGTTATTTGTTTATTTAAACAATGTGATTCGTGTACTTGCAGTTGCACAAAGCGGCATTGCCGGACGAAGCCGTCCGTCCCTTGAGGCATAGGGTTCACAGTTATGATGTAAACAAAAATAAGTGACAGAACATTTGACAATCAAGGCGTTTACAAGTGGAAGAGTTGCACTGTTTATCTTGTATTAAAACCATGATTGAAGTTGTATCAGAGATTCAGAATCTTTGGATAAGCCAAGAATCAAGGGACAATCTATCACTTTACAAGCCTTACTATTCTTAATGTAACCTTGTCGCCTTTCGTAAATATTTACCCATACATTATAAAAAGTCCCTTGTTCTTGAATATTTATGGGGGAAGTTATTAAAAAGACATTGAAGTTTACATTTAATAAAAGGCTATCAAGTTTTGAAATGTTAACTAAATAGCCTATTATGATTAAGGGTAATTAGTGCTAATTAGGATTAATGTAATCTTTTCAAATTATCTATATTTCCACAAATCCGAAATTGTTGCAAAAAACCCAAAAACCTTCTTCTTCCTCCCGCCATTAACGCATCTCTACCTGCATCTTCTTCTCTTCTTCTTGGCGTCGTAAAATCTTCTTCTTCCTTGATCTTCTTCTTCTCCGTACATCTTCTTCTCCTCATTCCTCTACATCTTCTTCTTCCGATCTCTACCGCCATTAACATTTCTTTTCCTCCACCATTAACATCTTCTCCGGCAAAGATTCCCCCCTCCTCCTCCTGACATTTCGCCTAAGTATGTGGATCTCCTTTTACATTTTATATTTAGATTTACAAAGATTTAATAATGGATGGGTTTGGGTTATGATTTTGATTTAGTTTAGTGTTGTTAGGTGTTGTGGTTGTGTTGATGTAATGTAGGTTGAAAGGAGTGAAATTTGTTGAAAATTAGTTCTGGGTATTTATTTTGGGTATGATGGATCGATTGTAGGTGGAGATGACTGAAAATGTGTCTGGCACGATGGATCGCTTAAGCGATCCGGTGTATCGCTTAAGCGATCGGTAGGTCTGGTAATGCAGCAGATAGATCGCTTAAGGATCAGGTATGTGGCATAAGATCGCTTAAGCGATCTGGTTAAAGTCTGTTGTATGGGAGCAGATCGCTTACGCGATCAGTAAATGGCATAAGATCGCTTAAGCGATCAAGGTTATTATACTTAATCGCTTAAGCGATCAGGTGTATCGCTTAAGCGATCCAGTATAAATAACCATGATCGTTCAAGCGATACATCAGACCAAATATGCGAATGTGCAGATTCTTTTTAAACTATTTGAACCCTTAGTACAGCATTTAAGAATATTGTTTTTTTGCATTACAGGTGTTGGCTATATTTACATGGGAAAAATGTTTTGGGTGTTGAATATTTTGGTGAGTGGTGGAGGAAGAAAGTAGGTGGAAGTGGATTGGGAAGAGCAAAGAAGTTACACCAAGTGCTGTGAGCACAGAGGTAGTTTTGATGATGTGATTGATGAAATAATTAGAAGAGGTAATTTGAGTTGCTCGCGTAGTGATATAGTTGTGAGGTATGTTTTAAGCGAGCTCCTGAAAATTATAAGGTACCTCCTGCTGTATTAAAGTCGGATGAAAGTGTGAACTTATTTATGAATGATATGGCCGATAGTGGTTCGAGGCCGATTTTAAGGGGTTTCTGTAGAAAAACCGTTGGAAGTTGGTTCCAAGGAAGGGGATAACGAGGATGTAGGCGGAGATTTGCCTGGTTGTAATTTGAACTACGAGGCCATTGATTTGTAGTAAACAAGTAGAATACGAGTCGCAATTGGGTGGTGAGGAGGACACTATAGAAGAGGTTGGTGAGGGGGCAGAATGAAAATGTTGAGGAGGAGGACCGTAGATGTTCCCACAGATGTAGAGATTCCTTTAAATACAGATATGCAGAAGGCGTAGAGTGGAGGAGAGAACACTATGGTCGTTTATGCAAGTCAAAGGGGGCAATTGGAGGTAGTAGTGGATCAGCTCATGTCTACGGATGGATCGGACTTGCGCATAGGGTATTTATTTGACAACAAAGAGGAAGTGGTGAGGAAGCTAAAACTTGTTGCTGTGAAGGTAATTTGAGTTCATCACCAAAAAGTCAAATTCATTGGCTGTGACGGTTGCATGTTGTGGACCGAAACTGCAAGTGGCGGGTTTATGTAGAGGTTGGCGGAGTCGGAAAAGTTTTCTTAGCACTATACCGTGAGCACACATGTGGTTGGGACATATTTCAGGTGAGCATCGACAGCGTCCGCTGTGTTATTGGACAAATTGTCAAAAGTCGGTTCGTCGAAGGGAAAGGTCCATCTCCTAAAGACATTCAGAGACTGTGCGCACAGAGTTGGGATGTGTTGTTAGTTACTGGAAATGCTGGAAAGGTAGACAACTGCACAAGATTTGTGAGGGGCACGCCGGAGCACGGGTACGCAGTATTAGAAGCGTACCGTTATATGCTTGAGTTGACAAACCAGGTAGCAAGACGGCTTGAAGTGGGACAGGAATATGATGTTTAAATATTTTTTGTGCTTATGGTGCTGCTATAAGGGGTTTTGTAAACATGAGAAAGGTGTTGGCTGTTGATGGTTGCTTTCTAACGGGAAAGTATGGAGGTACATTGTTGGTGGCCACTGCCAGGACAGCGAGAATCACACATATCCTGTTGCATGGTGTGTGGTTGACTCTGAGAATGACGAGTGTGGACTTGGTTTTTTCAGCAGTTACGTACGATAGTGCCTGACAGTGACGAGTTGTGCATAATATCCGATAGGCACAACTTATAAGAAGGGGATTGCCACTATTTACCGTCAGCACATACGGATTCTGTATGAGGCACCTTGGTGAGAACATAAAACAAAAGTTTAAGTGTGCTGGCCTCCTTCAGACATATACATGGCAGCAAAAGCTTACCGGGTGATGAGTTCGAGGAACACTTCCAGCAATCCGAATCAAGGATGTTAGAGTTGCTAAGTATCTTGAGCATGATGTTGGTTCGAGAGATGGAGTAGAGCTTACTTTCCGGAAGAAGGTTTGATGTCATGACCACGAACATAGCTGAGTCCATAAATTCGAAGTTGTTATAGAAAGAGAGTTTCCAAATGTTGCACTTTTGATTCAATCCAAAGGACACTGTGCGCGGTGGTTCCATGAGCGTCGTATGGAGTCAGATAATTTTACTAAAACCCTTGTTCCGTCAGCTGAAAAAAAATATTGCGAGAACATATGGAACTGTCAAATGCACTGTTTGCCTATCCTCTTAATGCTCAAGAGTTTACTGTGCGCGGCTATGGTCCGGATGCCCTAGTTAACCTTGTTACAAAAACTTGCAGCTGTAAAGTGCTTGACATTCAACATTTACCTTGTCCTCATGCACTAGCAGCACTGAAACACCAACGGAAGCCGGTTTTGGTTCAAGAATTTACATGGAACTTTGCTCCCCTTTCTATATGACAGATCACTACATGCTAGCATATTCAGAAAGATATATCCGGTGCCTCCAGAAGAGCATGGGTAGTGCCGCCAGAGGTGGCTGACATTATCCTCAGCCGCCATTGAAGAGACGCCAAAGGGGAGAAAAGGGGTAAGCGTATTCCATCAGCCTTTGAGGTTCCCGGAAGATGAATAAGTGCTCAATTTGCAAGCAACCTGGTCACAAGAGAAGCAGTTGCCAGAAGTAATTAGGGTCGATCGAAGAAGGATGAATTATTGTGTTTAAATTTATTGTTACCTTTAATAATATCCTTTATATTTGTATTCTTTACATGGTCTAAATATTTGTTGTGATTTAGTTTGGAATTAGGCTGTCAAATTGAGGAAAAAGTATGGAATTAATACGTGTTGGTAATTTTAGTTGTCAAAATTCAGGAGAAAAGATGCAAATGTAATATTGCCCACGATCGCTTAAGCGACTAAGTGATCGCTAAGCGACAAAGTGTTTTCGCAGATGGATCGCTTAAGCGATAAAGGATCGCTTTAAGCGAGCTCACCTGGAATGATTGATTCTGCCCAGGTGCATGATCGCTTAAGCGATAAAGGATCGTTAAAGCGATCCTTCACACTGGACTGATTGATTCTGCCCAGGTGCATGATCGCTTAAGCGTAAAGGATCGCTTAAGCGATCCTACTGGACTGATTGATTCGCCAGGTGCATGATCGCTTAAGAGATCCCAGATCGCTTAATCGACCAGGGGAAAAGGCAATATCGCTTAAGCAATATCACTGATGCTTAAGCGATCATGACATGGGCAAGATCGCTTCTGCCAATCACCTGAGCGTTAAGCGATCCATTGTATCGCTTAACCGATTCTTGCAAAGGTTTTAAAAATTAACAGATAC